GATGGAGGGGGGGCGAGCGCGATCCAAGCTCCCGCAGGTCTTTTGCTCCTGGTAGCCGAAACGGGATCCCTCGACCGTTATCCAGGCGGTGTCGATGGTCGAAATATCGGTGTCGGTGTTGATATCAGTCTGGCGTGGACTGTCGAACTATCGTCAGGGGGTGAGAAGAAAAGAGAGGAAGTAGAAGAAGAAGCGAGGTTGCTCTTCTCCGCTTTGTCTATATCAAAAACCAAACTCCCCCCAAGAAAACCACTAGCAGCGGGAAGCCAGCAAAGGAGAGCGTGAGAGACCGAGGACACAGGGCGAGTGGAGAAAAGGACCAGATCACCCACAGCGCCTTTACTTAAGCTCAGAACGGAGTCACAATTTTGCGGCTTGCGGCTTGCGGAATTGCGGACGGAAGATGGAGTTGGTCTTGTATGGAGCGGCAAAAGTAACGCCTGGCAAAGACAAGGGAGCCAAAAAGAAAAAAGGAAAGAAAGAGGTCCAACCAAGATGCACGTCCAGAGAGCGAGAGGGAGAGAGGTACGGGAGGATAGACGGGATGGTAACAACGCTCGCCGTATCAAAGCCTGGATAGTCCGTACATACGGGGTGGTGGGAGGGAGGGAGGGAAAGGGGGGATACCCCTACCAGGGACTGGGGCAAATAGTTGATATGTATAGCGCCAGAAGAAAAAGCTGAGTTGCCTCTGACCGGGACTATCGGCGGGTTGCTGCATCAAGTTTCTTTGGCCCTTCTGTGCCTGTGTACGGCGTGCACTGCTGCCCTTGTTGCCTCCAAGAAAGGGGTGTATGCAGAGGTGGTTCGGTTCTGCGGCGTTGACGTGAAGTATATGGCCTCGTACCACAGCACGAATCCCGCCCATCAGAATGGAGCAAACTGACAAACCTACAAGGTGGAAAGCTGGATAAACCACCCCCCAGAAAAGTGGTTACAGTTGTAGGGAAGAGCATGTTCAAGTCTCGTATTTCCCAAGTACTAAAAATAAGCCCTTCCAAGCGAGAGCAGTGACATGCCCTGGCACATTCCCGTCATCCTCCCCTCTCCCCCCATAGTTATCCAACTCCAGGGCAGATATCCAGATCCACACTGATGTTATTAATTAACCTAGCTTGCTTAGCTTAAGTTTCCTTTGGGCGAATCATGGCCTTAACCGAGTCAGACCCATAGCAGTCCCATGAACGAAGAAAAGCATCTCATCGGGTGCTGGCAAAGCTCACGCGCGGCACAGAAAAACTCCTCGGGCCAATGCGTATATAGTATGTCGAGCCGAAACTGTGCCATCGTGATTTCTAGAGATACTGCCCAAAGAAATAGATCCGTTACTCCAATGTTGCGTATATGCATCGTTATGCGTCTATGTGCAATCCATACTCTGTACGTAAGGATGCACCCCAATCGTGCCGTGCCCATTCGTTTGTATATGGCCTGTCAAGCGCTGACAATGCAATGCAAGGACGACCCAGAAGCCCGTTACCAAAAGGCCGAAGGAAGTGGCGAATCCCCAACTTTTTTCTTTTGGCCTTGGAAGGGCAGGCAGGGTAGCTGCATCTAATACCCTCCGGGCAAACAGTTCGTGGAGTTCTTACCAACTGGCTGGAAGTTTGCATTATCTGGCTGGTCGTATATTCTTCCTTACTCTGCCATCTGGTTGCTTACCGACTCCACACCCAAGGATGATGATCTCTTGGGTTTTTCGAGGCAACAGAGTGCTTTCTCGGTGACCGCCGAGCAGCATATCCTTGAAATGGTTCGCAGCTGTCCTGGAGTTGGGCCGTAGCGCCGCCTGCCAACTGATCCCACGCGCCGCTGCGCCCAGCCTAGCATACGGAGTTCCCTCTCCCTCGCCATGCTCCGTATATAGATATCTCAGCCTATATCACCAGGTACTAACGAACCCATGGCAGAGGAAGCTGGAGCCAAACAAGCTTTCTTCATGGTAAAGGAGGACACTAGAGAAGCGTTCACCCCTTTTTGTGCCTTTTTCGCTCTCTTCTATACATGATGCACCCCACAAAACCGATCGATGAGTTATCCTTGCTTGGCCCAGTTCAAATCTGAAATCTCAAACAAGCATGCGTCCTGTTGACTAACCGGTGCAGCTCGTTTGTTTAGGCTAGTTAGTTTAGCGTATATAATTGCTTTCTAACGGCAACGGCACTTGACCTGTAGTTGCCGAGTGTAACTAACAGGAGGGCGAGCTGCTGTCCCCTTCGTACTTCTTCTTGTTGTCGCTCGCAACGTAAATAATGGAGCTTGGTGGCTTCAAATGTGTTGCAGCAACGGGTTGGAGCAGTTCCCCTCTGCCATCTGATACCTAGGAGTGCAACCTCTGTCAAACAAAGGTGGAGAGATACGTCACAACGCCTTTTTCGTAGAGTCCTCGAGGTTGACAAGTGAGCCTGTGGCGTGAACGCCGTACCACGTACCACGACAGTATCCGTCTAGACTAGTGCTGAATATCTCTGGCCACCCAGGATAATGGAAGGCTCGAATATTCGACCAGTGAGGAATCAGAATCCCGCAGAAGCCGTTTCCATCCCGTAGTTAAGCTGGACCTTTACCGACTATCAGAAAAGAAAATCTCTGCAGGGCAAAAGGCGTTGACAGCCCGGGCATATACACGTGAGACATCTTCATGTTGGACGGGGACGGGATTCTCAGGAACTGTTTGCAAGCCATAGCAGCCATTATCACAAACATTTCAAGATGCACCCGCATACTGATCACGCCCAACAGCCCCTACATTTAGTTAGCATGGAAGTGTTCATGGGTCGATGGAAAAGTAGCGGCGGCGGTGCGGTGGGCTCCCGCGACTTTGGGCACCACAACGTCTGTCTCCCCTGCTAGCGACGAAGGAAGGACGCTCCATCCCCATGCCATTGTTATTATTGGCCTCAACCCAGCGCAAGAAGCTGTGGAGTGACCAGCTCCCATGTTGCTGGCTAGCCTTGGTAATATATTGCTTCTCGCTCATTTTGCTGCCAATCTTGGTCATTTCTCTTTCTTCGCTTTTTTTCTACTGGTCGTTCGCCCGGAGCATTGTGGTAATTTGGTTAGTATTCTCCACCCCTTGTCCAAGGCCATGTACGATTCCAATTCCTTGACCCCTTAACCCTTCCTTTTATCGGACTCCGATCGCCTGGGCCATCTTTTCTTCATGTATCATTCCTGTATGGTCAGATGATCGTTAATATACCAAGCTAATATCCAAGACACGAGTCGGCAAATGACCGTCTCACAAAGCAGACGCGTCATATACATAGATGGGGGAAGCTTTCGCCTGTCAATCCATCCCATCCGTATACTCGGCATCGTTACCGAGAGCGCTCCGAACAGACACTCTTCAAGACGCATCATGGAAAAGCTGTCGGTGAATATTGGGGGCTTCAGGAGTTTAGCGTTGCGGCTCAGATTGGTTGAAAGTTCCTCTGACCTTCTGCGTTGGCTCTTCGACTAACAAGCTTGCGTAGTAGTTGATATTCCATCCAGAAGATATATTGCATAGAAGACTGCCGTATCCCCTCACCTCGAAACATTCTTAGTTGCAAGCTGGCTTGTTCGCCCACTGATATGGAGATGGAGGGCGCGCTTGCTCGGCACGCAAACCAAGGCTTGGTGATTGTAAGGAGCGTGGCTGAACGCCACAAGTGCGCCTTGGGTAGACATAGTACATGCTGAATTCCCATCCAGCTGAACTCAAACATCGAAAGGGGAAAGTCTCAGGAAAGAAATAAAGAACAAAAGTTGAAGAGAGGGGGAAGAAGATAAAAAGAAAGAAACAATTAATAACTTTCGAGGGCCAATTCCATCGTGCGTGCGTGTGTGTGTGTGTGGAAAAAGCATGTCCAGGGAGTGAAAACTGAATCGTGATACTCCGTACTGAATAGATAAAAAGTAGGGTGCCCCTACCACGCTCAGCAGGTGAACTTGGCTCCCCTGAGTCTTGCTTGCTCTCCGGATTGTGCTTCATACACTCCCCTAAATGACAACAGTAACAGCCAAATAAAGGGGGGAGCACCCTATCTCTGCATATTCCTACTCCGTATCCGTACCTTCAACGTATTTTTCTGAGAAGGAAATTACGGGAAGGTGCAGCCTATAGCGTGTGTGAGAGATCATCTTCCCTCAGACGATCGAGGGGTTAGTGACATAATAGAAATGCCCATATTTATCTGTGCTGCTCGCTACGGCTGTCCCGTTATTGACAGCGTTAATCTGATATGCGTTGGATACGTGTGTTGAATGTACCCCGTATTTCTCGTCTAGCAAATAATCGAATACCGCTAGCATGAGAATAGAAATATCGATTTATGCTGTTGCCCACACATTCTGAATGGCCGCAGTTGCTCTCATGACTCTCGATTTAGTTACGGTTTCAGGGGTTCGAGGTTTCATGCAATTAACCAGCCAAGCAGTCTCGATGACAATGCAGGACAGCCTGAAAAAGAAACCTGGCGGCATCAAACAGGAGATTTGGTTATTTACACATGCATGCGGATCACCATTATCCGTTATATGTATGTATGCTTGGTCTTGAAAGTGAGCGCAGTGCATGTGGTGTGGTGACGATTTATGTAAGTCATATTGAACCCGCTTAACCTAGGAAAAAGGCTTGCTAACTAGTTAGGCATAAAACGGTGCAGGGCAAGGGGCAAAAAGGAAAAAGGAAAGATACCTACTGTGTTATCAAGGAGGTGGGGGAAGATATTGGGTCAAAGCAGCAGTACCCTTCGGCCTCCATGACGGTATTACTGGCACGACTGACGCGCTATCCGATGTTCATCTCGGTGAAATATTCGAAGTAATAGGAGTATATCGGGCTCATCTGTATCAGATATATCTAGGGGCTGTCGCCTATCCATGTCCGTGGTATGATATCGACCAGGGCAAATTTCCAGAGATCAAGATAGGCTTCCCTTCCGGCGTTCCCCGCGGCTTAGCGTCCAGACATTCAGTGTAAAGACCATGGACAGGTGGAGAACTGAGTTGAGAGCGTTCCATAGCTGTATAAGTAAGTACGATGTCAGGTCGGCGATGGTCACCAAGCTGGGATATGGGATTGCCTCCCATCCCACACTGCGTGTCCCACCATCGCGTCTGACCCCGTTATTGGCTGTGAGAGAGGCCGAGCTTCAAGGGGACAGGCAGCTTCACTTGTCAAGGGTGAGTTCAATCTCGTGCAGATGATGGTGGGTGTGGCCCACGGTGTATCCATAACTAGTTATCATTTCCTCGCAGACACGCCGCCAACCCATATGCGCGGGTGGCTCCCCTTTTCCCAGCGCCACAGATGTCTCATGTTTCTGATCCTTGTCCAAGGCCATGCTCTCGAGCTGCCATGCAGAAGGCTGGAACTCAATTGCTGCTGGAATTCGCTTTTCTGAGTTGCGATTGTCCGTTTGTCAAGACGTTGTGTGGTGTCCGTCGTTGACTGTATACATACGCAGCGGTGGAGGCGGTCGGCCGAATTCCACGAGAAAGCTTGAAACGCTGGACGGGAGCTTGGATGATGGAATGGGCAGGGGGCGGGAAGCGTGTAAGTCGATATAACTATACGGAACTATATGTGACCATAAAAGCTGTAAGCCGTCTGGGATGTTAGATGTTGGTTCTGTTGCTTGCGTGGGGGGAGAGAATGCATGAGGAAACGAGTTGACGTCCCGTTTCGGCTGATGTGACGCCGGGTGATTGGCTGCGTTTAACTACTATCATTGTTATTATGTATGTTATAAATACGAGACGCTCTATGGATGTATTCACGGTGCAGAATAAGGCTATAATTTACACACTGATCATGTACCTTTTTTAACCTGGACGCATCACCGGCAGGGCGAGTGTGAAAGTTGGTGGGCAGCTAACATATTCCTGGTTGTATACCATGTCAATATTACAAAGCTGACTGGCCCGGCTGCTTCATATGGAAAATAATGAGCAGTTATCTCCTTCTAGAATGTGACGCTGGGTTTGTTTGTATCAATCTGGTGTCATATTCCCGGAGAAAACGGCTCAGCACTGGCTCCAGCACAACAGGCATAGGACTAACACATTATATATAACAAGGGATGAACCTGGGGAGCATGGGGAAGCGCCTGGTCGTAGGCAATTCTTTCGGCAAAGCAGGCACGGATAGAAAATATCTCTTGATAACATGAAGACGTGAGCAAAGGAATATGATTTTAGGAAAGGATAGGCATACCAGTTTGAGCGTCAGAGATCACCCAAGAGCGAATAAGCTGGGATGCATTTATCATCTCATCATATGCGTGAGGACGGCCCATAGCCCATCAAACCCTTCCGAACGATCCACGGGATTGAAAAAGTCGAACCAGCGTGTTCGACGAAGGACTAGGGATCGCCATGGTGACGCCGGGCGGCCGTCTGAACTGGCAGTGTCTACCTTTCCCGTAGTGAGCCATTGAAGGTACTCGTCGTAGACTCTGAGATGGATGATGGAGAAATGGTGGTTAATCGACGATATCATAAAGACCTATGAGTAAATATACGTTAGTAAGTTGGCCTTTTCTAACTGATATTCAGCTGTAACTCACATCATCAAACGGACTGTTCGGGTTAGTCCCAATTTTTATATACTTCATTCTCTTATCCCACAATCCTGGACCGGGCTGGATGCTTTTCCACTTCTCCATCATTGAGATTCTCCTATTGTTCAGCCCTGCTCCTCGCCGGAATGAAAGAGAGGACCTGTCGTGTTTCGTCCGTTTGTTTACCGTGGCCTCATTGTCCACTGACGAGTTCGTTGGCGCAGGTTCAGCCTGCTGCTGCTCTGGAGCAGTTGGAATTGGTTCACCAACTGGGCCGTTATTCGGGAGGCCTCCCCAGCGAGGCGTAGACGCCCACCATTTTCCATCTCCGGGTTTGGCTTCAGTCTGATTTTCTCGCGCTCTTTCCTGGGCTAGTAGAAGGATCCCTGCTGTTTCCCGCAAGATATCACATTTCTCGACATGTCTCTGTTCAGTAGCTTCGTCGTAAAAACATGTTTCCGGTCGGCACTGGGCAACTAGCACTGGCCCTTCCAGAATATGTTTGCGTGCTTCCTGCCTATCCTGTGGGATGCGTGAGACGGTGAAACTCTGCCGTACAGGAAATAGGAGATCTTTGACAGCAAGACGAGGCGGCATTGTTGGTAGCTTAACCTGGCAGCCGAGGGACCATGCTACCATTTCCACCAGTCCACGTAAAACATCTTCTCGGACTGAATCAGGCATATCTGTTCCTGCACCAGTTCTCCGACCTTTGTAGCGTCTGCTACCACTGGGGCTCTTAGCATTTACTTTGGGTATTATGACTGATGGTTGACTATGGCCTCTTCCGCCATCGATATCCATCCTGCTCTCCACTGCATCTTTATCCGTACCTTTACCTGGGTCCGAACCTTCCCCATGGCCGTTGGGCGCAGTGTTCTCATCTATGCTGATCTCATAATAATTATCATGGCTTGAATCCCAATACTGAGCAGCTTGCTGCAAAGCAGTCCAAAATTTCCTCGCCTGGGCAATCCGTGGATTTTTACGCCCCGGAGGTGGTTCGAGCCGCGCAAGGGATCGAAATGCATCATCATTGTCGAATAGTAGCTCTGCCTTTAAGAGCTCGTGTTTACTTTTGTCAGGAAATGGAGCCCCATTGCTCATAAACATGGGAGGATTCATTTCCGACTCTCCAGTCCCGGAGCCAAGTGTTGGCCATTGATAGGGAGGTTTTGATTTCAGATCGTGATCTGGCACGATGTTTGAGACATCAATATCATATTCCACCTTGATATTGAACGCCGTCAGATATTCATCTGTGATATCTTGCGGTTTTCTGGCACGAGCCAACAAGTGATAGAGAGCATCACAACTCGTTTCACCGTCAGACATAACTGAATTTAATTTGGCATAGTCCGGAAACTGGACTTTTGTTGGCGGTGGAGGCGGATCACGCTCCTCTTCTAGGTTAACACTGAAGCTGGACACGGCTGCTTCCCCACTTGGTCAGCCATTCGTTATAGAGTGAGTATAGATATAAAATACTCCCCAATTCAGTATTGATCTCAGCTATACATGTTCAATCATCTGAATGGGAGGGAAGATGTAGGAGAAAGAGGGTCTTGAAAGGAAAAAAAAAAAAACACGGGAATTCCACGAGGAAAAGCAATATTCTCGACAGCCTTGTTTGAGAACAGCAGCCACTGGATAGTAAGGAATCAAGAAGCTTACCCAGACTCCCTCCCCAGCTGAACATGACTGCTGATATGCCTTTAAGACGGCCTTAAGGTAGGTTTAGAGAGATGGGTTCCTAAGACCCTGCTGCCCGAAAGCTCGGTTGAAACTAAGACTGCCCGGGAATAATATGTATATGTGCAACAAGGACCAAGGCAAGGTGATATGCTAAAGGTCTTAAGTCGGAGTAGATCATGGGGATAAAGTTGTTACGTCCGCAATCGGCCTTGAGAGATGCAATTTTCGATGGGCTTCTTCTATTCGGGTTGGGTTGAAGTAAAATGGTAAAGGCCAGATGGCTGGATAAGATTGTACCAATATCAAGACGGTTTCAGGACTCGCTCGAGCTTGTGTAGCATACCAACGCTTTATTGATGGAGAAAAGGAGTAACAATGACAGATTGTATTAACTAGTTAGTTATGCCCAAGCGAGGGATTAGAAAAATGCCGTATGGTCAGGGGTGCGACGCAGGAGATGCATGAAATCAGCTAACAATAACACTTGCACCAACATTCACAGAACCGACGGAAGCTCATATGGTGATCGTTGCATGCCGCAGCCAGGACTCACTAGGCATCGTCGTATAAAGACCTTCAAAAGGGACTGCAGAGTGTTCTATGTATTCTCCTGCTAGTAAACGATATCAATTAGAATGCAATCACGCTTGATGTTTTGACGCGGTCGAAGATCACTCAAGGTTCCAAGGTCCTCCCGACTCGGAAGGTCACGTGAACGGCCAACGACATCCAACTTCCTCACAGGCAAACGGATGTTTTGATCGCTTCATGTTCGACTTGATCAATGAACAAGAGGGCCGCGAGGGCTGAAACTGGAATATAACACCCCGTGTTAGCAGAGAGACAGCATGCGGCAGCTTAAACAGTGCCACAGCTTGGCCCAAGTTCATTGCATGGACATGGGTGGTCGCTACACATACCAGGAGAAGCTTTTAGGGGGTCACAAGCTATACCCATACCTTTTCACAGGTTATTACTCTTTTGTATCCTAAGAAGGCATCCCAGGCTATTCTCATAGCTTGAAGGATAGCAGGATTTTTAAATATCTTATACGCAGTTTCTCGCTGCAAGATCTCTGAGAAGCAGGATGTAACTACCAACCTGCGGTCCAACTTATTTTTGCCAATGATACCCAAAGTGAAAAAAAAAATAAATAATAATAATAATAATAATAAAAAAAAAAAAAAAAAAAAAAAAAAAAAAAAAAAAAAAAAAAAAAAAAAAAAAAAATAACCCAGTATGGGATGAATGCGACTCTCTGGATACCATATTGATTCCTTCTTGATCTAAACATTGTTTTAGAATAAGAAGATTTTCCCTAGCAGCCCCATATGCAGCCTCCCGCGGTATCTGGTGCAGGATAAAGATTCTCAATCCCACTCATCCGACATGTCGCCGTAATCAAATGCAGGTTTCGTCCCGTTCCGTTGAGCGATCCGCTTGTTCTACGTTCTCGTCTAGCGCCTTCTTTGTACACCTTTGGTCTCTCGCCCGGCTCTTAACGGGAAGCCTGCCATGATCGACCCGTCATCCCAGGTTCATGCAACTAGACTATGCAGGCCGCATCTTGTCAGGAATGGGGCAACGGGGCAACGGTCCTCGGATGGTTCCGAAGAATGCTTGCTCCCCGACTCCTTTCAAGCATTGCGCACCTCTCACAACGAACTTGTGGCGTGGAATCGCTACATTAATGCCCCATTCTTTGATTCAGATGGGATTTGGCAGAACACGTCCCTACGACTAACTAGCTTCATGTAAATATGCGAATTTCAATAGGCCCCTCTGTTCCTTCTAAACTTCTAGGGAAAGATTTTCTCCCCAGATCTTTGGCGCCATGGTTAGGATATTAAACCCTTGTCAGGGTACCTGATACCTCTCTGTTGTGATTGTAACCTGATAAACGTTTTTACAGTGGCAACATGGCTCCCCAGTACAGTCCATCTATACACATTCGTACTGCGGGTCCAGAGGAAGCAGGACAGCAGACTTTTGTCATTGCTTGCTCCTTAACTGGCACTGGCGTCTTTTTGACCATCGTCGTTTTTATATTTGGCTATATCTGGCACTGTCAGATGGGAAGCCGAAGATCCAGGCTATTGTCGCGTCTCAAGCCATCACGGAAAGCAACTCGGCCCAGTGCTGAATATAATAATGATCGAGATTATGAGTTACCTAACCAGATCACCAAGCCGTCGCCATGCGCGTTTCCCTTGAAATTAAAACAGCCGGAAACCATGCCTCCTCCTCCTCCTCCGCTTCCACCTCCTCGATACCTCCAACCGCTAAACCCGCCCAGTTTCCATAACCGATCGCTCCCTGGCTTTCAGTGGAAACGAAAATGCCCGCCTAAGCTTGAGCCCTTACCAGAGACAGAGTCCTTTACACATACCACTGTCCGCAGATTTGACAGAACTTCGAATCAATTGTCTGCTTTCGAACAAAAGGAGTACGGCCCTGTGGAGTTTCGTGGTTCTCTTGATGAGCTATCGACAATATCAAATCACGTCAATATATCAACAGGTCTGACACGAACCGTACTAGCCCATACATATTCGGATGACGGCTCTCATTTCATGGACAATGCCATACCAAGCCCGTCCCTCTATTTCTCGGCCAGCATTGATGTCGAATCTTTGATGTTCCCTTCAGAGACCAATAAGACGGAATCCTGTTTATTATCAAGGTCAAGGACAAAGAGCAGCAGCATAATCCTACTGCCGGGAAGTAGTCCCGATTCCAAACAAAATTCAGTCGGGAGCAGCAAGCCCTTGCGAGTAACTCCATCAATCATCTCCCGCTGGAGGTGGGTCCGAGAAATGACAGAATATCAGAACGAAGAACCATGCCCTTCAGAATGCCCAACATCGCCTGTCTGGTCGGACGGTACTGAACAGTCTTCGAATTGACGAGAAAACTAGCCAGTGACGCATCCATTAAAAGCTGGTCTTTTCCACTGTTCCTAAATTAATATATGTATTTTACTCAAGCAGAAGAGCCTAATATACCAGAGTCGCGGTATTGTTAATTGATTCAGATGGAATTCTTTGATTCCGAAATCTGTACATATCTGTATTGGTACTTCATAAGGGCCCATTTAGTTGTCTTTCTCGTTTAAAATGACAATAGCTATAGTACCAAAACATCCTTGTAATCCACCGTTTATCCACAAGATGTGTACATCTCAGATGAACAAACAAATGCCAGAGAGGGAGTATAGTGGGCATAAATTCCATTTCATTATTTTTTTGGTTTCGAAAATCAACATGAACTCCCTTGCCCACTGACCGATGCCGGCTAGGAGAAGTGGGATGGAGGAAAGTGGAAATTAAACATATTGAAAGGTCAACAGGTGGTTTATGCCTCCTCCTCATCTTCACCAAGAAGAGCATTCCGCTTTGCGGAAATACGCTCTTGTCGTCTCTCACGGGCAGCCTTGGTCTTAGCACGTTTGGCATCCATCTCCTCCTTGAGGGCACGTTCACGTTGTTTCTCGGCCTTGGCCTTGTGGATCTGTAAGCACCCATATTAGTACTTCTGTTAAAAAGGCGGGAAACCCGATTTTAACTCTGGGGAAGCCATACATGTTCAACGAGGGCACGCTTGTGCTTAAAGGTGTTACCCTTGCTCAAGTGGTACAGCTCGTGGTAAAGGTGCTTGTCAATCTTTCCGGCAGCACGGTATTTGGCAAGTAGTCGTCGAAGGACCCTTAGGCGGCGCATCCACAAAACTTGGCTATAAGGAGTGCGAACATGCGTCAGTCATCCCGCGGTTTCCAAATCTCTTCACTAATTTTCTAGGAATAGGCGGCAATTGCGGCGTATTCTTCATCGCCGAACTCTACAGAAATTCAGCAGCATTAAGGAGGAACGTACCTTGGCATTCTGGCATCCTTGGTACCCTTCCTCTTACCGAAACCTCTGTGTCGACCGTTTCGTCGGGCCTCTGCGAGCTCACGGGCACGGGAGCGCGAGTGCATGGTGACGGGCTTGCGGATGATGAGTCCATCGCTGATGAGTTTGCGGATGGTCTGACGAGAGTTGGCGGTAGAGATCTCGTTGACCTCGCTGGGGTCAAGCCAGATCTTGCGTTGACCGCAGCCGACCACGGAGGCGGCCAGGCGCTTCTGAGTGCGAAGGTTGACCCTATTAAAGTCACCAAATGGTCAGTCACAACTGTCTCTTCGCTTCCGTTTCGATATCACGAGAGCGACAAAATTTCTTGCCCCCTCTAACGCCATGCCATGAAAAATTTCTGCCACAACACAGCGACGCGGCATGCATTCGTGAGGGAGATATTCGGGAGGTGTATTCGATCCGATGAAGCAGCAGGGTGAACTCACATCTTGATGCCGGGTTAGTTGTCGATGGCCGAGTGAGTGATGGATTGCTGTTCTGAATCCGCAAATCGACATAAACGAACAAGAGGTGGACGTTTCGTTTCGATTAGCTAAGCGAGTGTGACTTGCTAAGCGAGACGCACCAAAAAGTAGCGAGTTAGGGTTTTATGGTGCTATGCCTTTTTAGGATGTTGAGTCATTCCACGTGATATAATTTTTTTGGGGCCAAGGCTTCCGCTTCCTATTTACAAAAGGGGCAACCGTAGGTCTATCTACTTGCTCTATGCTCGGTATCATCAGACAGTTCCAAAAGGCGAGTACGTATGGCCTCCAGCTTGACCTTGCGGGTCTAGTCATCACCGAATGATTCCCCAAGGTCAACCTTGCCCACGCTCCAGACTTCTTTTTCATCTTCTACTTCATCGCTGGAGAGACCTAGGCCGCCTTGGCCACCTTCAGCTTCTCTCCTCTCCCTAGCTTGGCCTCCTAGTCGGAGGGCCACGCGCTTGAAGTAATCTTGCATGCTGCGTTTGGGTCCAGCTGGAAGCTCTGCTCCGGGGCCCTTCATGTACTCTTCGAACACCTCGCCTTCAGACTCAACGACGGAGAAGATGGCCAGGAACGCAGCTTCGGCAGCCAACTTTACGGGGATGACCGTATCACGGACTCCCCCAAAAACGGGTGGCACCACAAGAGATCTATAACGTGCGATCATTTCTTGGTTTTCTCTAGCAACCGTCCGTAGAACAACCAGTGTCAGTCGTCGAGTGTCAACTGGTTTACCAGGCTGTACTATGCCTGCCAAAGCTTCGAAAACCTCCTTTTCGTCCTCAGGTTTGCGGTCCATATGAGCGGATAATAGGTATTTTCCAGCCGCAAGGACACCGTTGTCGGATATGAAAACCTACCAAGACTGTTAGTAGATGAATTGTATTACCATTGGAGCGCTAAGGTAAACATACATCACTGTTTCTGATTGCATGACAGATCGCCACGGGTACCTCTGAACGGAAGTTTTCGTTCAGTAGGGCAGGCGATTCGACGAGAATGGCGTTCAGCCGGAGAATAGATTGATGCGTCAGTTGTGTTGCTAGTATCCGGTTTCTAATGCCTACGTTAGTCTCAGTCTCATTAAGATAGGCTCATAGTATACCTACTTGATAAGGGGAATGGCGGTGGGTGTGGGCAGCGATTTGATCAATGCTCCAGCAAGTTTGGCGTTCGTAATCGTTGTAGCAGCTATAAAGGCGTTAGAAGTAAGTTGACAAAAGCGCGATACCAGGTATTCGGGGGCTCAAAGTACCATCGTCGACTGAATCATTGTCAACAAGACCAAGCACAGCTTGTCTTGAGGCCTCACTCATGTTTGTGCCAGCTTTATCAACAACATCATGAAGGGCGCGCAACATTGCATTTTTAACACCAGGATCGGTAGTCTTGGAACCAGTGATTAGCTCTAAATGATGTTAGTAAATGATCATTTTGATATGGTGAATTAAGGCTAAGAAGCCACCTACCTGCAACAAGAGGATCTACTCGTGGCGTTAATGTAATCAAAATACCCAAGCCTTTGGCAGCTCGTGTCCGCAAAGTTTCGCTGGACGTATCTGCCAACCCTCTCGCAAAAGTTCTTTGCAGTTGTGGCAAGAATGGCTTGACAAATAGTGGGATTTTTTCAAGCAACTTGTCAAGGGCAAGGAAGATTGCACCTAAGTTATTAGTTAGTCAAAGGGTGAAGTTTCACAGTCAGAGCTAACGGGGACCTACATTTGATATCCACGGATCTCTCTGAGACCACACGAATCAAAGGACCTGTAATTTGAGTCACGAATGTCTTAAGTGACTCAGGGCTAGTTCGGTCAATGATATCGCCAATTGCCAGAGCAGACTGTGTACGTTGTTCAATGTTTCCATTCAGTAAACCTTGAAGAAATATAGGGAGTATAGCCCCAATTCCTTTAGGTAGAGAGAATCCGGCGAGATTGGATCCAGGTACACCAACTTGTCGGAGTACTTGACGAGCTGGATTTACAAGGACTTCCATCTCTTCTTTCTTCATGCTCTTGGTCAGTTGGTTGAGACCTTCCCATGCCGCCTTTACAACCTCCTTATCACGATCGTCAAAGGAGATCAGAAGCACTCGTATCAGCTCTGGGTAGAATCGAGAGATATCCATCTCTGTGTTGCTGAAGAACGTAGCAAGGTGCATGGCTGCGCTTGAACGTCGTCGGTGGTCATCATGTTTCATTAACGCGAGCATTACGTTCATGGCAACATTCAAACCGTCAAATTCGTCCACCGAATCAAGCACGGTGTCAAATGCATCGCTAACTTCTGATTTAAGACCGCTGTCCTCTGTGGAGATAATCTCGTCCATGAGGGTATTCAGGATGGTTGGTAGTCTTCGGTTCATCCCGCCTCCGGCAACCTTCGATAGCGATGCTAACGCTTTGGCATTGAATCCAGTAATTGGCTTGGTCAATAGAGTTGGGATGAGATTTGGCAATATGATGTTGGCTCTAGTGGCTTCGGTCAACAGAGTAAGAAGAGCAGCAAGAGCCTGCTCCGCATCGTTTTCATTGTGCAACAGATGTAGAAGGTCTGGTAGAACCCTGTCAACAATCCTCTTGCCTAGCGCCTGCTGGAGGGCATCGAAAGCTTCAGCAGCAGCTTCACGGACTTGGTCGTTAGTATCGACCAAGGCGGTTTTGACAATAGATATAAGAGCCTTCTCGTATGTTTCGAGTGATTCTTCGGAGGAGGATACCACAAGCTCCCGCACAGCCAAACATATACCCTGTCTTCCATCGATGTCGGTCGACGTGATGAGCCCTTCTTCTAGTTCCGGCAGCAGAGTCGAGAGAACTCCCTCCCCTGCCTTCTTAATCAATTCTCCTAAAGCATTTCCAGCAATAACCTTTTGTTCCATATTTGAGCTTCCCAGGCGCCGGATAATGACTTGGGAGAGCGTCGGCACCAACTCTTTCAACGTGCGAGGCGTAGCGACCAATGCCTTCCAGACATTGATAGCAGCGCTCCTGACCAATCCTGAAGTATCGCAGCGGCAAATATAAATTGATGAAAGTACTTTGTTACGCCTCTCTTCACCAAGGACTTCGAGGAGAGATTGACCAGCTTGGATTGCGGAATCGATTTCCTCTTCGCCATCCGCGGCAGTAGCACCTGTCAAATTGAATAGAAGATCACCAATAAGCTCCACAGAGGAAAGACGGATACGGTAATTGTCATTCGCCAAACCACGTTCAAGCTCAGGGAGAAGGAGGTCAATCGACCTTGTGGAGAAATTCTTCACTAGCAGTCGGCCGGCTCGGAGCGAAGTTTCTCGTATCGATTCAACCTCATCTGCAAGACCAACAAGAATAGGAGGAATAATACGGTTCAAATAAGCAGCGAAGCTGTTACCGAAGCATGCAGGAAGGAATATAAATAGAGTCATAAATCCTTCCCGGACAGTCGCTTTCGAGCTAGAGACATTTTGCAGAAGTGAAGGTAGAGTGTCTTCCAAACGTGACGTACCCAAACCAGCGAGAACTTCAGCAAGGGCCTGGGCCGAACCCATTCGGTCTCCTGCTCCGGCCTCTGATTTGAGGGTCGCCATAAGACTGGGAATGAGGTCTGGAAGAGTATCCTCTCCTAGTTTCTCAATCAGGGATCCAAGAGCCTTTGAAGCAGTTGCTCGAGTAGTTGGCACAGGGTCAACAACAGCAGTTTTAAGCCCAGCAACCAGAATTGGCAAATGAGATATCAAATCCTTGCGTTCCGTAAGATGAGCTAAACTGCCAATAATTTGCGCTGCCTTTCGCTTGGTTGTTGATCGATCACTCAAGCCTCGCTCGAGAATTCGCACTACCAATGCTAAAGAGGGCGCATCAAGGTAATGGACGAAAGAAATTTTTATTAAAGCATCCAAAGCTTCATCGGTGTATTTGGTTGGGTCACTGAGAGCTTTTAGCAAGATTGAAACCAGGCTCTTGACTTCTGGATTGCTTATAACATCTCCGAACCGTTGCAAACTCCTATTGGCAGAATTGCGAACCTCTTTGTGACTGTCATTCAGGACCTCTGTAAGTGGTGGGATGATATCTGGGAGGTTGAGGGCAAGTTGCTGTGGATCAAGATAGGCCATTGCGCCAAGCAAGTCGCAAGCACCCTTTTTGCTTCTCCATTGAGTATCATCCAGACCATCCAGCAACGTTGGGAGAATCTGCTTAACTCCAAAGGAACTTAGGCTTGCGAAGCAAGCCTTTGCAGCATCTAAACAGGCATCACGGACGTCAATACTTGGATCACCAAAACTTGTTAGTAGTTGCGGAACAATCCGTATCACATATGGCTCAAATACACGGCCGAGAACAAATGCCAGTAGTTCATATGCTAGGACAGCCCCCTGTCGTTGATTTGACTCCTTTTTATTCTCAGATGCTTCCGCTAGGCGAGACATAATTCCAAAGTCGCGGAGTGCCAGTACTCCTTTACCCCTGACTATGCCTGCTAGTCCATAAGCCGCTCCACGGCGGGCTGCATATTTCTTAGATGTGAAAAGCTGATCGAGCAATTCCTGCACAAAATGGCTAGCATCTGATCCATCTAATCTGATGAGTGGGATAAGGCATTGGGCAACAGCAAGCTGCACTGTTTCTGAAGGTGTTGATAAAGCATCCATGAGCTTGCGGGTGACTTTTTGAATGCGATCATCCCCCACAACTAGATGCTGCGCAAGAGATCCGTAGAGAATGATGACTGCTTCGTTAAGCCAATCTGACTGCTCGGTTTCCTTATCTGATGTTTCCAATGTCGTTTCGAAGATACTCATCAGCTCCTCAACCTTCTCACGCCCACGCGATGTTATAACAGCACTTCCACTCTCGGCCATCTGTCTTCGAACAGAAGCATTTCGGTCGATCAAAGGGCCTTCATCGATCAAGAATCTGAAAAACGATACTATATCATCCCCACTGAAACCACTAGCCATAGCGCCGAAGGACAGGGCAATTCCACTCCGTATTTCCCAGGCGTCTGCCTGTTCAGCCTTCCTAGGCATGCCATATGAATCGGTCTGCACAGGCTTCGTATGTACTTGTTCCCGATACATAGACTCCAACTTTTTCAACGTATCGGAGAAAATGGAGGGACATAGCTCGCAGGCATGAGCAAGGGCAATGGCTGCCGCTGATCGTAGAGACAAGTCATCATTGGCTAGGTGTTTGATAATCAAATCAGGAGATTGTTCGTCAACATCCAGGGCATTTTCTTCCCAAATTTCCCTGGCAATCTCAGCGTTCTCTGCCACATTGTCATGATATGCTATCCATAAATGTACGGAGAAGTCAATATCAGTCAAGTCTATCTCGGACAATATGCTCTGGAGAACAGCAGTTCGCACTGCGATTTCACGAGATATCGAGCCTCGAAGTAACACTTCAAGCTCGTCGGGTTGTATATTTGCCGCCATAGCCCTACAAAGGTCAGAGAGTGCATCTCTCACTAATTTGTAGTGTGCCGTATGTTTTCTCATGGCGTTGATAAGGTGCCTTAGAGTCTCGATTCTAGGTAATCGCGCGTCGGAAAACGAGTTGGTGTGAAATGATATAAATTCTAGAGCTAGTAGAACCTGCTCTCCACTGTCATCCTTTGACTCCTCGATTCCATTGTTTTCCAATACTATGAAGATTAATGGGAGTATATAGCCAAGAGAAACTCCATCAAGAGGGCGCTGCTCTGATAGGATTCGAAGACGGTATAATATCCGGGTTATTAGGCCTACAAACGTTCATAAGGTTAGCGGTACTTTCGAGATAAAGTCCAGGGTATAACTTACTCCCCAGTGGCTCCGTTTCAAGTTCACTTCTCAAGAACGTTTTCCCTACAGCTCTAATAGTTGCAATGGCAACAAAAGGCCTCATTTCTCCAATCCGGGACGAGACCTTATCACCACAAGCCATGAGAGCTGAAGATATGCTGTCACCAACTATGACTCCACCTCCAAGTTGAGCCAGTTTGCACAGAGAGCTACAAGCAGGGTTAATCCAGCCGTCAGCTTCAGTTGGAGGGCTGTTTGCCAAGCTCTTGATTATTCCCGCCCCCCTTTTGATCATGACTTCAGCGGAATTGACAGCGTCACGGATTTCCGACTCCTTCTCCAACTGAGCTTTGACCTTAGCCTGCTCATCAGCAGTTAGTTTCTTCTGTTTTTGGCCATGCTTTTTAGCAACCTCGGCCCTCAATTCTTCTTCCCACTTGAGGGTATCATAATCCTTAGCGCTTTTGTTGGGCAAATTCTTAGCCTTGGTGTCCAACACATCGATAAACGGAGTGTCCCCGGTATGACGAGCAATTGCGATGTCTGTAGCCGAAAATTGGGATATTCTTTCAGGTTTGAGATCTTCACAAAATTGAGCTACAAGCTTCGGTATCATCACTTCTGGTGCAACAAAGCCTAGGTCTGCAGCAGCATTCCAAGCCGCCTGTCGAGCTTCAGCTATATTATGGCGGATTGGATCCTATATTATGTTAGATAAAAGAGTCTACCAGTCATTTTCTCAGGAGTAGATAGGGTGGCCCAAGAACTTACGCCAGTAGAGAGTAGAATTTGATTTAAACATTGGTCAGGATATTCAATGGCTAGTTTCCCAGGATCAATCCCCATTTTCAAAGATAAGTTGATCCAACTGGTTCCCGGAACTAGTTCAGGACGACACAAGACCAGTAGTTCGATACATTGGGATTCTAAATCTTTCTTGTTTATTGAGTCAAGGCCATCTCTCTCTGATACAGAGGGTGTAATTGCTCTCACTACGTGAGAAAGATTGGAGTTCCCAGCTCCCGAAAGTACAGCAGCGGACTCCTTGTCCGCAATACCCAGATAATAAAGCCACTTCCATATGGAGTTTATGATAATACTGCCTATCAAAACAGGTTGTTTAAGATAGCACTGTCGCAACAGGCCGGTTGCAAGCTGTCGGATCTTTGGGAGTGAAGCCAAAGAACATACCAGATAGATAAATGCTTGGGCCCATGCTTCCTGGGCCTGCTCATCAGAAGTTGCGAATCCTGGCTGTACGGTAACGGCAAATAATGCGCGGAGAGCCCACTCAAGCTCGTCTGCAGATGAGAGCTTGGTATAAATTTTCGGGTTTAGTAAGAAGGACGGCTTGGGAGAAATTGAAAGGGCCGTCGTAAATATGTCCTCAATTGGATAGGGCAGGTTATCCTCATTCCAGAACTTCTCGAGTGACAATGCTGTAAGGACATTTGCTGTAGAAATTGTGCCGCCCTGTAACGAGGGTATTGGGTTGGCAGATATCTCAGTAAATGACTTGTGTAATCTTGTCAAAACTGGGTGCAAGCACTCTTTGCTGAATGTCTGAGATGATTGTAGAGCAGAATTATCGCAATTCCAGAATAATTCGCCCATATTCATAAGCCAGGTCTTACGGAATCCAGCGCGTTTATCATCACATCCCTTGATTACCGTAGTGCAATTTTCCATACTGACATCGGCCCTAGATGACACAAGGAACGTGAGGTGGTGGCAGAAGGATTTTATCTCTGGTTCTAATGCAACCTCACTGCTTTCACGAAGTAAGGCAGCAGAAAGCCCTGTTAGAATAGCCTGAGATGCGCTGGAGGAGCACGGTACAACTCGCAGAACTTGTGCCTGAAGAGCACGCTGTTCTACATTCGGAATTTTTTGCGCTTTTAACGGGGTTACCACTTCGTCAACGACCTTCAGAAGTGACTTTTCATCACTGCACCGGGGTATAAAGGCTTCAAGTGCTTCAATTGCACCCTTTCGTATAACCGCATTTGTCGACTTAATGTTTGCAAGCAATTGCTTACAAATGGAGGATGAGAAAACTTCAGAGAGATCAATTTCCACAGGGATTGAAGAAACGAGAGAGGTGAGAACACCAGCGAGAAGAATTTCGGGACTTCTGAGAATGGCCTTTTCCACTGCGGGCCAGACATACTTCTGAAGGTCCTCCATTGTAGAAAAGGATGTAAAGAGGTCCCGGATCCCTTCGTGGACATGTCGTGGAACAGGAGTCCTGGAGGCAACAATTTCCTTGGAGTAGAACTGGAAGATTTCGCCCTTCACTGCATCCAAATCATTCTTCCTATTTGGCAGTCGAGCGCAAACGCCGCAGATAACTCCCAATATAGGGGCATTTTTGAAGCCTGATGTCGCCTCTTTGATCAAGGAAGGAACTACATCACGCACTAGGTTGCTGCCATGGAACTCTGCAGAAAACACCGCACGTAATGCCCGTCGAGTAATTATTATTACTGAATGCTTCAAGCTCTGCTTTGTCGAAGTTCCCAGGCATGTTTCCAAAGCCTTGCTGATGGCAAACACTGTTTCTAGAACCAACGGAGAGTAGTCATCGAGTCGTGTGCTCAGATACTGTAGCAGCGTAGAACACCATTCCACCAAGACAAAAGCGTTTGCAGGCGCTACTGCAGTATTTGAGGATTCCTTTCGAAGGAGCTGAGCGAATGCTGGAAGGTCGGTACATGGTATCGAAGGGAAGAGGGCTTTCGCACAGCGTTGGGCGGCATGGCGGGATTCACGATCGATATAAACTGGGTACGTTCTGAATAGCAGAAGTAGCACTGTCTTATATAGTTGGGGAGGTAATTGAGAGTCTGGACGATTGAGATTAGCCTACAGGATGCTCGATATAATATTAAACCCGAGGGCTGGCAAGTTAAGTACTGACCTCTGGCAATGGTGTCCTGCAATTGATGCAGCAGCTGGCACCGCCGCGAGGTAGAGCTGGAAAACACCACCGGCTCCAGGGGAGTAAGACTCCCTTTTTTCACTTCATCCCACTGTTCTTCGTCCATCTTCGTCCTAAACTGCGCATTCCGCACTCCCAGACAAGCTGAGACTGGGGTTTTTGGTCGCCTTTGTTGTTGGTTTGAAGTCCCAAGATTCGTTCGCTCTCCGGAGAATCGTTGGTGCCTTTAGTTAGGGCTTCCGCCGCCAGCTTTTTTATTAAGACCAGGCAAGGCAACGTAAGAGATTTATTGTTAACAATCTATCAAACCAGGGGAAGAGAAGTCGACTCCCCGTCGCTCTCTTTTACATATCTCTTCGTCTCTGATATTTTGTTCCTTCGAGATTGCGCCTGTTTCTGCGTTTGTTGATATCACTACTGCCCCTCTATCAATTTTCTATGACGATGAGCTTGGTCCACGATGGCGCCTAACAAAAAGAAGAAAAAAGCTGCCTCAAACCCGGCGCGAGGATTTGCTACAGTCTCTGTTCCGTCCAAGGTGAAGCCGTCGGCCTCTTCTGAGCCAGTAGAGCCCGAAGAGATCGCCCATAATTCCGAGGCTCTCGCAGAAAAATCTCCCACTGGAGATGTCCAAAACGATAAAGCCGCTGTTCAGCCGGCCAGCCACAAGCCAGAGCTACACGAGTTGACTTCTGACGAACTTGAAAGGCATCTGGAAGAAGCTGAACTGCAGGCAATCGTCGACAAACATGGCACCAAATGCAAAGGTGATGCTGCTCGCTACTCTACCAAATTGGTGGCTGAGAGACGCCTCCTGCGCCCGCAAGCGTCACAGTTGGAGAATGTCAGTGACTGGCTCTCTGCAGATCTTTTGAATAAGATACTCGAAAAAGAGAAAGTGGAAGCAAAGAAGCAGCCTATGATTTCAAACAAATCAGCGGAAAATCATGGACAACTCGGCCTCGCCACAGAAGAAAACATCTGTGTCAACTTGTGGATTCTTCAGCTTACCCTGTTAGCACTTGGTTTCCAGGAGATTGATATCCATCAGGCATTGAAAGCCCTACTTCTACATGGGCCATTGGAAATAGTGTCTGGAAAGGACCCCATCCAGGCTCTCGATCTAGCCTTCTACTATCTGGCACTCTACCTGGACCAAGAGAAGCTAGCTCTGTATGACGAGAACAAGCCAACAGAGGCAGTAGGCAAAGTCGTCACAGTTGGAGATGATAGTATTAGTATACTATCAGAAAGGATTGCCTCAGGATCTTCCAGTCCGGCAGGTCCGGCGCGAAGCAATACACCAAGCAAATCTACAGAGACTACCTCTACACTGCTTTCCCGCCCACTGAGCCCGGATTCCGAAGGGGATAGCGGCGTACACGACCCAGAAATGCTAATCCCCGAATTTCTAGCTCTTCGATCACAGCTCTATGAACTCGACCCATCAGTATTCAACAAACCGAAAACTAAAAAGGGTGTAAAACAAACCTCTAAACAGACCCAGGACCCAGGTCAGGATCCTGCTATTGCTATCATTAAACGGAAAATTGCTCGGATTGAACAGGATATCCTGTTTGACTCTCACGAGGCAGAGGAGCGCTGGGCGGGTACTCTGGAGGAACTTAGACGCGCCACAGGAGAGACCTTGAGAAACACCCTTAACTTACCAACAAGCACGACTAGTACTCTCCGTACTGAGTCCCACGAGACTGAAGTAAAGGACGCTCGACCTGAAGAGGATGAAGGGATTTTTGGTGAAATGTTTGACTCGGAACTAAAGGATACTGGGAGCAAGACGCTGTTTGGATCCCAAAACACCTCAACCAAACTAAGAGATTTTGGTAAACCAGTAGGAATTAACCCAAGAAAGGTCCTGGATGATTTTTGTCACTCTAGGTAAGATACACACCAATTTCTTCATATATTAGCTCTTAACTAACGCTTTACTGGCAATAGGGATACAAATGTTACATTAACATACCACAAAATATCTGACAATGCTTTTTTGCATCGCAATGCAATAGAAATTTCATGGTCAAAGGACCAAGATATCACCTTTGAGGCACCTCTCAAGGATATTTCATACAGAATCTTTCCTCGGTCATTGGTGATCGACATGACCGGTATCAGTGCTGCATCTGATGTACAGGCCGAATCTTATATTTCAACAGTTGCTTTATTCATAATATCCTCACATGCATGGAAGGACAATAAAGCATCTTCAAAATTGTCAGGAGTATGGAAGGAAGTTTGGGATGAGATATCCTTGGAAAAGAAGGAACACGACGATCAAACCGATAGACAAATAGTCAAAACATTTAAGGGATACGTCCAAGAATATGAGGCTCATATCGAGGAAGACGTCGTCCTTGTTCACAATTTCCGGCAGCGATATGGTACTGGAGATGTCACACCTTCAACCGAAGGTACACCAAGGAGATATAACGTGGACTCCTTTTCTCCTGAGCTTCAAGCACTCTGGCACAACCATAGTTCATCTTCCAACTTCCAGAGAATGGCAGCAGCAAGGGCCGGCCTCCCAATATGGTCATTCAGGGACCAAGTAATTGATGCCCTTTCCAGTCATCAGACTGTCATAGTATGTGGAGAAACCGGAAGTGGGAAAAGTACTCAAATTCCTTCATTCATCCTTGAAAATGAGCTAGCAGCGGGCAAGGAGTGCAAAATATATGTCACTGAACCCAGACGTATATCTGCAATTTCGCTAGCAAGGAGAGTCAGCGAGGAGCTCGGCGAGAACAAAAGCGATATTGGGACAAATCGGTCGCTTGTTGGATATGCGATCCGGCTGGAGAGTAAATTCACAGCTTCTACACGTCTGATATTTGCGTAAGTACCTTTCCTCTCATTGCCGTTGATTGATCCCCTGGCTTACCGTTTCCTTAGAACTACCGGTATTGTGATCAGGATGCTAGAGAGACCCCAGGATTTCGATAGTGTTACGCATCTGGTTTTGGATGAAGTACATGAACGTACCATTGATGGAGATTTCCTCCTAATCGTACTCCGTCGACTGCTAAACACTCGACATGATCTGAAGCTGGTTCTAATGTCCGCGACTGTTGATGCCAAACGCTTCTCTGACTATCTTAACGGCGCACCGATTCTAAGCATTCCGGGACGCATGTACCCTGTGGAAACAAAGTACCTGGAGGATGTTATTGAGTTGACACACTATCGACCTGACAAAGATGATTCTTACACAGATGTCACCGACGACACTTCAGAGGATGAGAAGTCAGGGCCTTCTGAAGACTCCACTACGTTAAAGTCCACTCTTACGAACTACAGTAGACAAACTCAGTCTACAGTTTTATCATTTGACGAGTATCGCCTTAATTACAAACTCATCACCGACCTCCTTTCAAGCATTGCCAGCCGCCCAGAGTTTATCGATTACAGTAAAGCAATTCTAATATTCATGCCAGGTCTTGCTGAAATACGTCGGCTTCACGATGAAATACTCTCGATTCCGATGTTTCAGAACGGTTGGGTTGTCTATAGTTTGCATTCCTCTATTGCAAGTGAAGACCAGGAAAAGGCATTCGTTGTTCCCCCGCCTGGTATGCGAAAAGTGGTCATTGCTACAAATATAGCCGAGACAGGTACGTATCAAGACTTTGCTCAAATCTGATTGAGATGATCCTAAATAAGCTTGTTAGGTATCACCATCCCCGATATCACGGCCGTCATCGACACTGGCAAAGAGAAGGTTATGCGGTATGTAAAATGTTCCCTCCCTCTCCTACGGAGTATATGTGGGTATTTTTTAATAATAAGCATCCTAGTTTCGACGAGCGACGCCAGATATCGAAGTTGGTTGAAGTTTTTGTTGCTCGTGCAAATGCAAAGCAGCGTCGAGGTAGGGCAGGGCGAGTCCAGAAAGGAATATGTTTCCACCTGTTCTCAAAATATAGACATGACAAACTTGTAAGTTCTCGTGTCTATAGCTTCAAAATACCTGTTACTAATTTGAAATACAAATAGCTTTCTGAGCAGCAAACCCCTGAAATGCTACGTCTATCACTCCAGGACCTTATCCTTCGAGTGAAAATATGCAATCTAGGAGATATTGAAGGCACACTATCCGAAGCAATGGATCCTCCATCTTCAAAAAATATCCGGCGCGCTATTAAATCATTGAAGACGGTGAAAGCTCTTACTGGAACTGAGACATTAACACCACTAGGGAAGCAATTGGCTAAGTTGCCGCTGGATGTGTTCCTCGGCAAGCTCATCCTATACGGAGCTTTTTTCAAATGCGTGGATGCAGCCGTGAGCATTGCGGCAATACTTTCTAGCAAATCGCCTTTCTTGAACGATCTCAATCGTAAAAGCCAGATCGAAGCTTCAAGAAAAGCATTCGAACAAGGTATTAACATTCCAACCGCTCCATAGGCAACGAAATGACTTAACTGACACTTCCTTTGAAGGCAATTCTGATCTACTTACGGTTTACAACGCCTACTGTGCATGGAAAAAGCACCGAGCAGATAAGAATGAGTTCAGTTTCTGCAGAAAAAATCACCTGAGCCCCCAAGCATTGCTCAACATTGAAGATGTGAAGACACAGCTTCTGGTGTCCGTGGCGGATACCGGGTTACTGAAGTTAAATAATGAAGACCAATTGGCGTTAAATAGGTGTGATTTTTCATTTGGATCTGTTTAACGATGAGCAGTCTCTAACTTTGTGATGACATAGAGCAAGATACACCGGACGCAAACGACAGTTCTTCATTGCCCCCAAACAAGTGGATATCAACAGCAACAACGATACGATCGTCAATTCGGTGATTGCCTGGAGTTTTTATCCAAGACTCCTCACCCGTCATGGTAAAGGGTGGAGAAACGTGAGCAACAACCAGTCTGTTGTTCTGCATTCAGCTTCAGTGAACAAACACACGGAAAATTTGCCGAAGTGGCTCTCCTACTATCATATTTTGCAGTCTCGGAACGGAAACTATAATGCACATGAGACCAGTGCCGTGGAAGAGCTTGCAATTGCGCTGTGCTGTGGAGATGTAGAATTCAAGGTGACATGATTGCCATTATTTCCAATCTAAATTTACTGTGCAAAAAAATGGCTAACTCTATCTCAAGATGTACGCTGGAATCATATCTCTCGATGGCAACCGGGTTAGGTTCAGGGTGCGCGACTGGAAGACCATGCTTGCTCTCCGGGTTTTAAGCACTCGGATCAGAGAAGTCATTGCCCAGTCACTCAAGACCCCGAAGAAAGAACTCTCCGCGGATCATAAGCAGTGGCTTGGTCTATTTTTACAAGTTCTAGAGGCAAAAAAGAAACCAGACAGTTCGGAATACATAACGATGTGAGACGAGAAAAGGTTTTCTACAGAAAATAAAAAGAAACCTAGTGGTCTGGCGGAATAATCTAAATGAAATGATACTCCCGAAGTGACACCTACTTTGGCCATTTCTTTTTATCCTCATGTACGGAATATAATTGCTAGAGATTGATTTGCATGTCAGATATTCGGGCTTGACAGAGTGCGGTCAGTGACCTAACAGGGTGTTCTGCTCGTCTCTGCATATTTTGCTTTGGCCACAGGGAGGCGGATGGGATAACATTTTCATGCATAAAATTGGAGTTAGAAAAGCAAAGCAATGCCAGTCACAGCCGTGAAGCGATCTCAGGTGATCAGTCAAACGCTCTATCACGGTTTTTATCCTATTGGCTTTTGCTCTGGTCCACTGGTGATAGGGATATGCTAGGTCGAGCCAACAAGTACATAGCCCGGCCAGGAGACGAATAGAAGCAAGCGAGTTTGGGCCGTTGTCAGTCCATTGTACCTCCAAAAAACATCCAACAAGCAGCTAATGTATAGCCAGGTTGGTTCCGTAGTGGCACAGCAGTGACAGGTAGAGGCAGGCTTGTTGATGATAGCTGCGGATAGCCGTGTAGGTACAACCATCTCTTCAACTCCGTGGAGCTGTGGGTGATGCCTTTTGTGTAGCCGGGGAAAAAGCAGGGTATGCAGAGTCATCAGATCATTGCATATCGGTACTTAGATGGCAGTGACAATGGAGTTGTTGCTAATATGCAATTCGCAGCTGAATGACAGTGAGACAGCCACAACTGAAGTAAACTAAACTACAAACATCTGTAAATAGAACAGAAACAACGGACCTAAAACATCGACGGGAATATTACATATATATCTTTCTTTAGGAGAGCCGTCCGAAATGCAACCAATTAGCCATTCGAGCTCCGGAAGCAAAACGCAACGCAGCCGGAGTAGCACAGGTAGATGTACAGGAAGAAGCAAAGTGCATGTAGAAAACGCACATCTGACCAAAGGTGACGTGGGGTTTACCCTGCATGAAAACCTCAACAAAGAGAGAACGAAAAGATTCTTTTCACGGTCAAAGGCTACATAACTACCGAATAGCACAAAGAAAGGGGAGGATCAGTTCTTGGGGAAGGCCGAATTGGTAGATGAGGCGTAGCTTGGTTAGTAAAAGGGTGGCGAATATACCAAATTTGAAAGACACCGATCAACGGAAAAGGATAAAGAGGACGAGGAAAAAGATGCGTACAAAATGAAAGCGAGAGCAAAGACCTCGCATCTACGCCGCAATTTGCTTTCTTTCTTTCTGCTTCTCTTATCTGGTGTCCACCTTAGCTAACTATGTGTTTTGTCAATGGGCAAGTTTGACAGGTGATTCCAGTGGAATTGACCGACCACCAAGAGGAAGAACGAATCGATCGGTCCGGCGGATGCTTGAGCGAGACCCTGCCTGCTGGCTCTGGGATAGCATAGGGGGGGCCGTGGGTTGGGCAAAGCTACGTGGCACGTCTGGGCTGTGAGATATCGCCTTATGTTTATTTTAACTCCAGCTCAACTGCGGTTTGAGTCGATATAAAATTGCCCTCCAGCAGGATTTTTTTATTATCTGGGCTGTGTTTCCTTTTTGGCTGCAGTTTTCTTTTATTTCTTCCTCTTCGAACAGGTCTGAACGGCGGTATGTCGGCCGGTAGTGGTAGTACTTCTGTACCTGGTACGGAAAAATAGTAGAGTAGGACATTGGCTGGTCCAAGAAGGAATGGAATACGAGAGATGTCGCGAATACAGCGAGAAGGGAGAAGGCTTCAAGGCAGGGAGAATTTTTTCTTCCTTTCGTCCATGTGGGTGTGAGAGTAGCACAGGGTGTATAAATTATCATGACATGGCTGGCATCGGTAAAGGGGGCTGGGGGAAGAGTAAAAAAAGGAGGGGGGAGAGAGATTGAATGACAATTGAAATCAGCACCGGAGGTGTCAGTCTTCGGCCCCAAACAGCAGAGCAAGATGGAAGATCTGATGGAGAAGATGGAGTCAAGTTCGGAGTACATCCAGGGAAAGGGATATCAGCCTTGTAAGGATGTTGCAGGGTCCACGGCCATTTTCCCTTCGCCGTTGGAATTGATAGCCCGTGTGACCTTAGGACCGGAATATAATCAGGAAAAGGAAAAGAAAAAAAGGGTCCAGCTGCAAATGGCTGACACTGTTCGATTCTCATCAAGGTCTCGTGCAACTAACTAACTGCTGGGTATCAAAGAAAAGACCATGATTCGATCATGGGAGGAGAATTGATATCAAACTAAGCCGTAAAGCAGGGGGAAATAGAGACAGCATGGATACTTGGAGACTGAGTCAGGGCAACTAATCCTGTAATTGAGGAAGCCGACTGGCATTATATTGACTGTAGGGAATCATATATACAGCCTGAACTGAAGGCCCAATCGGTGTAGGGCAAAGGAAAATAAATTCATGGCTACGAATACTCCGTAAATGAGGCTATTCCTCCCCCCCCCTTTTCTAATCATCAACTCGCTCAATGCTGGTGATAGCTCTAGTCTTCTGATTCGGGCCGAGAATAAACAAGCTGGAGGAGTCTTTCTCTGCTCTCTCTAACTACTCACCTGCTCTCTCCTGGACGGGTGAAGAAGGTATGATATGCAGCAGAATCGGCTGTACCAGGTAGGAAGATCGCCGATTGGCGAAGATGCAGAAGACGAGCAGCATCAGCCGGAGATCTGCGAGCAATCGGTGGTATGGAACTGGCCTATTGGTTAGGGGTACATGAATGTACGCATCAGAAAGATACCCCGTGCATAATACGTACATATATATACATCCATCCTGCAACATGGTATGTATGTACGTCCGTTGAGGCAGCCCGGTGTCTGTCAGTTAATAATTTGCAGCAGTCCTTGCTCCGACTCCAGCAGCACCGAGGAGATTTGGTCAGGGAAAGACACGAAAAGCAAAGAAAGGGCCAAATAATCAGAGAAGGGGGGGGGGGGGGGGGGGGGGGGGGGGGAAAAAAAAAAAAAAAAAAAAAAAAACCCCAAAAAAAAACCAAAAAAGCCAAAAAAAAAACCCCAGCCCGGAATGGGCCGGCCCCTGGGAAAAGAAAATTAAAATTCCAACGGGCCGGGCCGGGTGTGGAAAAAAAAAATTTTTCGCCTAAAAATTGAAAATTGAAACCAAGCTATTTTTCTGCCCTGTTTGTTGCTGGTCGGGGACACGGGGGTGGGGTTTCAAAACCCGGGAAAATCCCTTTCCTCTTCCCCTTTGGGGGTTTCAGGGTTTAAGTGCCCCCGGCTTCAATGGGAGTGTTAAGGGGTGGTAAAAAATGTCCCTTAACCCGCGGGGAGATTCCCTCTGGGTGAAAGAGCGGGGGCCCCAAAAAAAAAAAGAA